CTTTCAAGATATAAGCTAACCACTCTAAGGTTATGTTGTTTTCAAAAAAAATCCTCAAGTTTTCATCTCTCCGTGAGCATGGGGCAAAGAAAAGATTTTTTGAGATTCTGTTGAGCAGGGGCAGGTGTGTCGAATACTCTGTCGAGTAAGTATGCAGCCAATCTGAGGCATTCAAGTCGGGATTTTATCCCTCAAAGTACAGTCAAACTGGGGCAGTTATGTCGAGATTTGACAAATCTCTCTAAGAATGCATTGATCAGATGAGAACCTTCCCAGAATTTGGAGATGTATGGGCATTCACTCAAGCATAGTTGGAATCACCTCCAATTTTGATTATCTGAACATCATGACACTGGGGCAGTTTATCTTAGTAGTACATACGTTAGAAAGCCCTCTCGAGGCAATTTTCCTGCAAAAGCCTTACAGACTGGGGCAAGAATTTATGTAAGGGATTTCTCTCTTCTTGAGTAGTTGATCAGATCAAGCCCATACGCAGGTTAAACGACCTATGAATTTGAAAATCACGCTGAGAAGTTAAGATTGTTATCTTCAACTTATCAGAGACTCAAGTCCATTTACTGATATCCTTTGTCCTAAGTCAAGGTTATTATCCCCAGTTGAAGTTTGAATTGTTATCCACAGTAGGATATGAGCAGTAACGCAAAGATTATTTGGGTTTTTTTATTCGTACAAGATGTGATGGGAATATTGCTTCCTAGAGAGATTCCTCCTCCCAGTAAAAGACTTGTTTCTACTTGACATAGACCTATCTACCAAGGGGTTCCTCTTTTGAGATTTTTTTCTCCCCCAGTAAAGCATCCTCGTTTCTCTGCAGTAGGAGAATGTTCTTTCTCCCTGGAAATATAGAAGTTGTTCAAAGTCAAGATGATCCCTTTTCAGTGAGCTACAATTTATTTTTGCAGCATCTTCTCAAGTTCACTTTTTAGTGGCATTCCTCCTCAGAGTCGGCATGTTAAAGTTGCAATCTTGCATTGCAGTTTTTACCCAGTGATTGATTGTTCAAGTTGTATATTCTTCAGTAAGGTTTTCCATTCCAAACAGGGGCACGTCACCCCAATTTCTGTTTTACAAGTACTATTGGTCTTTTATGACAAGATGCATACCAGCAATTTAATCAAGAAGGGTAACATGAGGATGTTCGTATAATGAGACCCAATTTCCCCAGTGGAATTATTCTTCTTTCTGTAATGGAGCAAGTGTCCTATCTCTCAGGTGAGATGTACACGAGGAATTCCAGTCATAACTCTTTCGTTACCAGAAGTAGAAGATGTTGTTGAGATATCCCTAGTGGAGCTTCTATCTCGGGATGTTATTTCTTCCCCAAGTGAGGATCTCTTACCTCCCAGCAATGTTATCCCTAGTGCGGTCTGAGTAGATTTCTTTTTATTTAATAATTCCTATACTCCCTAATGGAAGTGATCTTCGTCAAGGATTTCCATGCCAGAAGTTTCCATTCCCAGCAAAAGCTTTTCTCTTTCCAACAGAGGATAAAGAATTTATTCCCCGTGAAGTGGGGAGTTTGATCAGAATTCAATTCTTTTCTCCGAACTACAATTTATTTTTGTAGTATTCTCCCCCAAGAAGTTACTTCCCTGACAATATCAATCTTTAGGGTTTGGCAGTTCCGAGTCTCGATGCTCCATTGAAGTTCATTTTTCCTTTTCTCTACAAAAGATCAGATGTACAAGAATAATCGTTCGGAAGTTCTTTGGCTTCTCAGCAGCCGATTGTTGACCTGTTTTCCTAGTGAATTACTAAACATGCATCTTTACATTGCATCATTACATTGCATCTACTAAAACGCGTAGCATTTCCATTGCATGGAGCACTACGCTATAAGAAGAAAAAAATTTCAAACATGCATGAGTATAAGCCAGTTATGTCCACTTGCAGTAACCAGATTGTTATGCGCTCATATTTGATTTATCTCTATAAAAAAGCCTATGGTAATTCTATGATGTTTCCCCATCAGGGTTTGTTTGATTCACCACCAGCCAGGTCTTTGGTATTTCTCCATTTCCCCAGTAAGTTTGTGGTTTGTGCTTGCCTTTGTAAGCCTTTGGTTATTTTTACCCACGTTTGCTTTGTCGTTAGAGTGTGAGTAAGAGTTGGCTTATAACCTTTCTTGCTTCTCAAGTGTTTGAGTATCCATACTTGGTGTGTGGTAATTCAGACAATTACCACTCTAAAGAAGAATTAACACCCCGCCTTTGGCCTGAGGGATTTTCGTAGTCCTTGTGTATTTGCAACTTATCGAAAGCCCAACGTATAATGGAAATTTTTGTTAGAGTCTGCTTTAACCAGTCTCTTTCTCTTGTAAAGTTCACCTTTGATCGGTGCTCTTTGAAGGTCCTGCTTAGTCGGCTGGTATCCTTTAAAATCCCGCTTCGGCTGGTATCTTTCAAAATCCCGCTTCGGCTGGTATCATTTGTAAAATCCCCCTCCGGAAGGTATCTTTCAAAATCCCGCTTCGGCTGGTATCCTTTAAAATCCCGCTTCGGCTGGTATCATTTGTTAAAATCCTACTTCGGCTGGTATCTTTCAAAATCCCGCTTCGACTGGTATCTTTCAAAATCCCGCTTCGGTTGGTATCATTTGTTAAAATCCATCTTCGGTTGGTATCATCTGTCGGGAGTCCCATTCGCTTGGCCTCTATCCTCAGTAAGTTCGCCTTTGATTGGTGTTACTTCGCCAGAGCCTTCTTTAGTCGGTCTCTTTCTTGTGTATGTCTAACTTTGACCTGACATCCAAGAGATTTTCTCAGCTAACCCCTTTAATCCAGAAAGCAAAAAAATAAAATACAGAAAAACCAAAAATAATAATACCTGACTGACTCCGGAGCGCAAATTTTCGGGTTCTTTTAGTAATCTTCTTCCACCCTGAAAGTTTGAAAGGCTGACGCCAATCTCACCTTCAGGTTGAAAGCGATTAAATAGGGGCGACTGTTGCACCCCAAAATTTGCCCTCCTAATTTCTTTTATTTTGGCTTAGACTTTTGCATTCATCTGCATCTATTTCATTAGGTCACTAACATGGCATACATTTCATTCAATATAGTTCTGAGGTTCAAAGTTCAGTGGTTGTGCGATACTAGGGTTTCACAGTGGTTAAGGCGCTCGTATTCAATAAACAACGATTTCTTATTCAGGCAGCGAGTTGTGGAATTAGGGTTTTGGTTCATTCTCATTTTTGGACTTCCTCTCCCTTAAGCAACAAGGCTAATATCTTCTGATGAGCAACTGGTTGTAGGACATTTTGGTGAAGAATTCCAGGGCATAACCTAGCATATGTGGGCTTCGAATCATGACGTCTCTTCATATAAGTATGCCTATCATTCGATTAGGATTAATGACTGTAACATGACATTCATCTACTCTTCAGTTAATCAATTCAGGTTTTGTTGAATCATGGTTCAATGATGTTTCATCCGGATATTTCTCTGTGCATCTAAATCGAGGAATCAAGATTGTGAGACTTTATCATCCATCTGTAAGATGTTCCTTATGGCACTAATTTTAAGTTGAAATAACCGATTGTTAAGGGCTGGGGATTGGATTATGAAGCGCGGTTCATGACCTTAGATATGAATTCGTGGACTTCTCCTTAACCAAGGCAATTATTGTCCTCATCATTGTCATTCGTTATCTGCGATGCGAGCATACTTGGATTGAAGTAGGCTTCTCGTGGAAGAATTCATGTGAAGTAATTCAAGGTTCAAGGCATTCGAGGCAGGGTTTTGTTCAAAATGGCATACCTGGTTGATGGGCTTACAAGCTCTTATGAGACCTTCAGATGCATAATCATGGGCCAATTTCAAAGATATGTGGATAAGATCTGTTGACTTCGGTTAAAGTAAGCTTTGAAAAATAACTTTTGGACCAAGGTCTCCCTCGAACTTTCATCTAATATATGTTAGGCAATCGAGTTGCATTTGAAGAATGGTACGGTAAAGGAAAAGAAATATTAGTTCAAGAAAAGGGAAATTTCATTAGAAATCAGGGTTTTTATTCGTTGATAAATGTTCAAGTAATTGAAGATCAGGGGAAATAAGGTTTCATATTTATCTTGATCATATTCTTTCATTATCATTTACGTCCATCTTTGATGATTTAAGGTCGTCAATTAGGGAAGGACTTTGTCAAGATAAGAGACTTATGGATTGAATCGTGGAATATGAGGCATGATACAAAAGGCAAGGTTGTGAATTTTCTTTTAAAGATCAAGATTTTATTGTCTATTCAAATTACTTACCATACAAGTTGATTTAGATTCAAGATTGAAGTTAGGAGTTCATTGAGAATGCAAGTGTGATTTGGATTTGAAGTTTGATTTGAATTCAAGATGTTCGAAAGTGTTTGATTGGATTAAAATTGGCAAAGAGCCGTAAGTATTGGTCATATGAGTTTCTTGGAAGGTAAAGTACAGAATGCAAGGTCTTATTTCAAGTCGGAGTTCATCCACATTACAAAGATGTTCATCGTTATTCCAGATTCAAGTTCACAATGCGTTCAAACATTTATTCAAACCCTTTCATTCATGGTTCAAGAAAATACTATCCAACAACCATAGTTTCATCCAAATAGTCATTCAAGAATTCATTCAAGATTAAAGTCTCTTATGATTACCTTGCAAATATTTTGAATTCGTACCATGATTATTTAAATTCATATAAAGGTATTTAAAGGAAATATTTGAGAAAAAGAACTTGGAATTTCAAAATCAGTTTCGAGGAGAAAGGTACATTGAAGAAATTATCATTGAATTCTCAAAATTACATTGCAAGTTTAACTAATTCCATGCTACATTACAATACAAGATGGCATTCAAAACATTTTCATTACAATTTTACCATCATGTTACAAAAGAAATTATAAAAATCATACATAACACCAAAGCCTAATCTTCATATGTCTTCCACGAAATCCCACAGTTTGACCTTACCTTTTCACCATAATCTTCACACTACTTCAACATAAATCCTACTGGCCACTTGGAATCAACCTGCAAAATCGCATCAAAACAATCCACAATCAGAACCAAAACTAACAAGCCAATGACATAACCATCAGCTTGCCAACTAACAATTTCTAACAAATTCTAACAAACTTCTAACTTCCTAATTGCTAACAAAATCCATAACCAACCCATAGCATATTTGCAACAAAAATCCCTGCACATAACAAACTAACTGCTAACCAAAACAGAATTCACAAAAAAAATAACCAACTTCCCGTTGTCAAAACCATTTTCCTAACCTCTATAACAGTAACCAATAACAAGAAACTAACCCAATCCTCACCCTCCATCTCATAACTAATTGTCACAAATCCAAGGGCTCTGAATTACTTACCGGTAACAAACTTCAGATGATATAACAGAAATCTCTTTCAATTGCTTCAGGATTTCAATTGTGGGAGAATCACCCAGAAATTTCTTCTCTCTTTCTCCGCAATAACCGCATCTACATCTTCTTCTATATTCATCAACCTGCGTTCATCTTCAACAGTAATAATCATCACCACTCAAGAACAATAACAAACAGTTAAAAATGCAAGTTACCACAAGGAATCGCAAGAAATGAACAACAATTTGCAGAATCAGCAGAAGAGGAGGGAGAGATTCAGGATCATGGATTCATACAGAAAAAACCTCAGAAGTGATTCATTATTTACAAGCTCATAGAAAATTTTCAGAAGAAAACTCACCAAGAAAACCAGCAATCTCTTTCTTCTTCAACCGGCCACATCATTCTCCAAGAACCTTGATCGATTGCCAGAATCGCTTTCAATCTTCATCTTCGAAAATCTCCCATTGTCATCAATTCTCCGACAGAATCCTTAACCGACATCTCAAGCTTCATCATCTGCATTAATTCACTCTGCGTTTTTCAACTACTTCGCAACATCACCATCACGGTTTCTGCATCAAGAATAACCACAACATCCTTCAATCAACAACAACATCAACACAACAACAAACACAAAACTGGAAAAGAAAAATAAAAACTCAGAAAGAAGATTCAAGTAATCTAACTAGAAGGAAAATCGTTCTCGACACTCTCTCGATTCACAACCGCATCAATCTGTAAAAACGCTTTGAAAAATTATCTTCAATCTTGGGTTTTCTATGAACCTGGCAGCTTGATTCATCAATTTCTGCGCATCATCACCATCAACATCTTCATCAACTTGTTATCAACCTTCAATGATAAAATCTGCAACAAAAACCGCATCATCACAAGAATACAATTGCAACACACGCACATCTTTATATCAAACAGAAATGAAGACAAAGAAGATAAATAAGAGTAAATAGAAAAGAATGGTTCATCGTCTTTGTCGCGTCGAAACTTAATTGGAACTGAGACGAAGTTTGAGTCACGATCGAACGAAAATCGTGAAGGAGAGCGAACTGAAGCTGACAACGACAACGAGTTGGTACGAAATCGTGAAGCTTGAATTCGTGGAATAAGATAGAGCTTTGGGACACCTCAGCACCGGAGAGGTGATGTTCAAGTTGGAGATGGGGAAGGTTGAGGCGTTGACGTGGAGAATCGCTGGTGTTTGCGGAGAATTAAGCCACATTATTTTGCAAGAAGAAGACAAAAACGTGAGAAGAAGGAATCGAAAAAATGCAAGACAAAGAGCAAGGAGTTCACCTGAGTTCCTTGATTTCTCTCATTAATTTCACTGTTGTAAAGCCGCCAGAGCGTTTCCAACCGCAAAGGAGTTTGCGCGGAGGCGAGAAGAATCATGATGACAAGAGATTTGAGATGATGATGAATCCGCGGCGGAAGGTTATAATCAGATGATGATGAATCCACGGTGGAAGCTTTATGACGGTAGAGGAAATAAAGAAAAGGATGAAGGTAAGGGGGCGGCGCCGTTCAAGCTTCGTGAGGGAGATGAAGAGACAGATTTCTCTTTTAACCCTAGATCCTCTTACAATTTGCATATCCTTTTAATTTTATTTGTTTTAATTGTTTTGTTTTTCTTTCTTCTTTTAAACATATATAATAATACAAATAAGGTTGAATTAAAGTAATGATTAGGTGATGCTTGGACTTGGGTCGGGTTTTTGGTGCATTTCTTAAGCCCGTTGGAACGTTTTTTGGTAGTTTGTTTCCTGGTACAAAAAGCTGCTATTTGGACTTCATCTAATGGGCCTGCATTGTTAATCACCACCTTGTATCATGTTTAGAACCCCTCTGTTTGATGTTTTTGACTCCCCTTTAATAGTTTCTATTAACTTTTCTCTTCATTGATTTTTGTAGCATAAAATTAGGTTAAAAAAAGGTGATATAGAAATTATAATGATTTTTTAGGTTTGTTTAGAAATTCTTTAAAATTTAACTATGTTATTATTGTTGGATAATCATTTGTAAATGATTTGGCAATCATTTGTCGTTATTTCTTTGTCATAATTTTGTGATATAATGATTATTGCAATTATGTGTGATATTGGTAAGTAAAAGGGACTAGGTTGAAAAAAATTCCAAGAGGTTTTCGAAGCAAGTATAGAACCACAATTCTCATCAAGAAAATTCAAGGAGGCTTCTGTAGAGTTTTCTTATGGCTTGCACGGTTTTGAAAAGGCAACGGACCTTCTCCGTTCGGTATCATCGTGGCCTTATTTTATCCCTCATTTCGCACTTTATTGCATTTCTTTATCGCAAACCATATGCATGCTAACATTAGGTAGAATTCCTTCAAAATTCTAACTTTAGGTCTAATACACAATAACATTAGGTTTAGAAATAGGCTAGTCCCCATTTGACTTTTCTTTCCCTTTTCGCATACGCATCTAAAACAAAAACTTCTTTCTCTTTCAAAATTCAAAAACACTTTAAATTTACTGACTAGAATCATATCTTCGTTAAGTATGTGAGACGATAAGCGGGTATTTTCTCGACCTTATTGTTCTCTTATTCTAAGCTTCGGCGTGGTTCAAGTCTCAAAGACTCATTTCATGAATAAGTAGAGACATGGCTAAAATCTCTCTCTTGAGATTAACTAGTTATTATCTACAAGCAAAAACACCAACCAATACAAACTCTTGTTGCCTTCGGGACCTTCCTTTCAAACTTTTTTCAAAAGAGCGTATTAATTCACTTATGTGCTGACGCGTAAATCTCCAAAGGTCGAGTTGCGGCAGAAGGCGAAATTACTATCGTTCATTCAAAAACTCACAAGTTCAAACCTTTTTTGTGCGTCCAGGCACATTTCTTTCCAAACTTTTCAAGAGAGCATGTTAATTCACTTCTGTGCTGACGCGTAAGTCTCCAAAGGTCGAGTTGCGGCAGAAGGCGAAATTAATATTGTTCATAAAAAAATAAAAACCAACAAAAACATATAAGCCGAACTACGGCTGCTCTGATTCCTTAAAAGGGATACGTAGGCATTGGGGTAGGGGCCAAGCGAGCACAATTTTACTTTCCCTACACTTTTTTCGCCTTTCATTTGCATGCATTATCCTTTAGCTGTAATAGACAGTAAGCATAGATTAAACACACCCATAAGATAGACAACAAGAGTGGATACTGTAGAGTACTACGGGCGTGTGGGGTGCTAATACCTTCCCCTTGCGTAACAGACTCCCTTACCCTTATCTCTTGGTCGTTCGACCTTGATTTCACCCTTCTCAGGTTTACTCGATGTTTACCTTTCTCTTCGTGTGGGATAAAAGACGTTCGATGGTGAGTTTATTGTTTAATGATTTCCAGCCGGTTGTTTCAAGTAAGGCTGTGAGAAGGAACCTGGATAGTAGGGTTACTTCGATATGAAAGCCTGGGTAGTAGGGCTGTGAGAAGGAACCTGGATAGTAGGGTTACTTAGATATGAAAGCCTGGGTAGTAGGGTTGTGAGAAGGAACCTGGATAGTAGGGTTACTTCGATATGAAAGCCTGGGTAGTAGGGCTGTGAGAAGGAACCTGGATAGTAGGGTTACTTCGATATGAAAGCCTGGGTAGTAGGGTTGTGAGAAGGGACTTGGATAGTAGGGTTACTTCGATACGAAAGCCTGGGTAGTTGGGCTGTGAGAAGGAACTTGGATAGTAGGGTTACTTTAATATGAAAGCCTGTGTAGTAGGACTGTGAGAAGGAACCTGGATAGTAGGGTTACTTCGATATGAAAGCCTGGGTAGTAGGGTTGTGAGAAGGAAGATGGATAGTAGGGTTACTTCGATATGAAAGCCTGTGTAGTAGGGCTATGAGAAGGAACCTGGATAGTAGGGTTACTTTGATATGAAAGTCGGGATAGTAGGGTTGTGAGAAGGAACCTGGTTGAGGTTGCATTTATTGCCGATGATTACTCTGTTTAGCTCCGAGTGTTGATCGTGTACCTGCTGGAAATTATTGATAATAACTGTCATTCCTGAAATAAATGCAGGGTTAGTTATGTGCGATGCATGAGATGCATTGTATGATGACGTTCTCAAAATAAATGAGGCTATGTTATATGTGATGTATGCACATGTCATGATGTATGAACATGAAATGCTGGCATAATAATCTGAGTCCGGGAAAATAAATCTTTGACTGCTGTTTGGAGAGTATGAGAAATGGTATTATTGACTGCTGTAAAAACCATAGTTCCTTTACTTCTGTTGGGGATGGTGAATAAAGATGACTAGATAGGGATTTTCCCCTTGGCTGATAAATATTCTGTCGGTCGAGACTCTGTTTGAGGACAACTCTGCAGGGAATAACTTTGTTGGAGAGGAGATACTCTGTTGATAGACCTGCTGACTTGGAGAAACAACTCAGCTGGGGATGAATTACCACCGCTGGTAGTAATGAATTCCATTGGAGATTGAATTTCTGCTTATGGGGGAGATAAACTTTGTTTGGGGAATAATTTACTGACTCACTCGTGATTGTGAACCTTAGTTGGGGAGAGTCATGTCTTGTTCGGGAAAGCTAGCATCACTGTGTTTGAATATTCTTTTATTATTCTGTGGGGAGTGTATGTACCGCTACTCATATTCTCAAGTTGGCTCTATCCCAGTACCTGATGGGCAGAGTAACTGTAAGGTTTGGGCGCTTTTCCTGTTCCTGGAATTACGAGTAATCGTCTTTTGTATTTTATGTCAATATTTATGAGAAACAATTATTTTCAAATGCATATATCAAAATGAACCATTGGACGTTCTAGCAAGACAAAACAGGAAAAAGAAAAATAAATCAAAGCTTTGTGAAAATGACTTGTATTGCTTTTGAAGTTGGCATGTAATAGGCGTTTTTGTACAGGGAGGCTGACGTCCTAGTAAGAGAACACCGCCGAAAGAAAGAGATTACAATTTATGTTAAAGAAAGAAAAACAGCTATGTGGAGCGATTCCATCGGGTTTCAACTCTGATATTGCCTTTATATCTTCAAGCGTCTCATCTCTTTGCTACTTGGTCGAAGGTGGATCAGATTGATTGGCGTCGTCTTAGCTTGATAGTCGATACCAAAGTCTGGTTGCAAGATGATCCAATGAGACATAGTGTTACGCTTTGATCCCTAACTTTTTCCTGGACCGACCTTTCGGGTTTTCAGTCCACCGGGATACCCTTTTTTGCCCAAGTCGCCTTTTCAGGTTTTCGACTTACCGGGTATACAGTTTTTTTTCTTCATTTTCATCCCTTACTTTTGCCCGAACCCTTTTGGTTCATCGGGAAGCCCTTATTTCTGCCTAGGCCAGTCAACCTAGCGGGTCTTTGATTATGCGTAGTATCTTTTCACTATGTCTGCATTGACGGGGTGAGGAAGTTCGTCACCATCCATGGTGGTTAGAATCATAGCTCCTCCTGAGAAAATGTTCTAAAGTTATCTCCTCAAAGTGTGGGAGCAATGTCAGTACATATTCTTTGTAAGGGATAAGATTCGGGTGTTTCGCATCCCACTCGCCTTTGATCTGACTTATCACCAGAGCGGAATCTCTGAATATACTCAAGAACTTAATCCTTAGGTCAATAGCAGCTCGAAGACCCATGATACATGCTTCATACTCCGCCATGTTGTTGGTGCAGTTGAAACATAATCGAGCGGAGAATAGAGTATGACATCCCTCAGGAGATATAATTACAGCGCCAATGCCGTTACCCAAAGCGCTTGATGCTCCATCAAAATACATAGACCATCAGGATCCTTCCTCAAGTCCTTCATCCGGTCCGGGTTCTTCGCAGTCAGTCACCAACATGATGTTCTCATCTGGGAACTCGAAATTCATGGACTGGTAATCATCCACGGCCTGATGCGCCAAATGATCTGCCAATACACTCCCCTTGATTGATTTTTGGGTTGTGTATTGGATGTTGTACTCGGTTAAGATCATCTGCCATCTTGCTATTCTTCTGGATAAGTAGGGCTTCTCGAAAATATACTTGATTAGATCCATTTTTGATATCAATAAAGTGGTGTGAGTCAGCATATACTGTCTCAGTCGGCGAGCAGCCCATGCCAAAGTGTAGCAAGTTTTCTCGAGCAATGAGTATCGGGTCTCACAGTCGGTAAACTTTTTGCTAAGGTAATAAATGGCATTCTCTTTTCGACAAGACTCGTCATGCTTCCCCAGCACACACCCCCATTGAATTGTCTAGCACTGTCAAGTATAAAATCAAAGGTCTTCCTTCAACTAGAGGCATCAGAATTAGTGGTTCTTGCAGGTATTCTTTGATTCTTTCAAAAGTATCCTGGCATTCGTCATTCCACTTTACCACCTGATCTTTCTTCAGCAGCTTGAAGATTGACTCACAAGTAGTAGTCAGATGTG